GTGTGTGTGTGTGTGTGTGTGTGTGTGTGTGTGTGTGTGTGTGTGTGTGTGTGTGTGTGTGTGTGTGTGTGTGTGTGTGTGTGTGTGTGTGTGTGTGTGTGTGTGTGTGTGTGTGTGTGTGTGGTTGTCAAAGAGGTTTGCTTTCCCAGCCAGCAAGGATGCCTGTGGCCCCAGAGGAGAGCCGCGGGTCATCCAGAGCTAATTAAACTGACTCAAGCTAATGCTAAAAGCTCTCCACTGGGAGTTGCACATCTGAGCTGATTTCCTGTTATTGGCCACCTGCATTAAAAGGATTTGTATGTAGCATGTTGATGATCTCAATAAATCATGAAGTTCATTCACCTCATTAGTTGTGAGCGGAGAAGAAAGCAACTTGTACTGCCCTCTGCACTATAGATTGTATGCCGCGGAAAAAAACAGCTTTCATATTTTATAACAGATAAAATACAGAAGGTTGAATTATTTCTCATTCAAATTGAGCTCACAATAATGGACAAAAGTGAAAGACAGTGAACCCAAGTGGAGTGATAGCAGATAATGGGAGGGAAGGCAATTAGAGTGGTAGATTATTTTTGTAACAATAGCCCAAAACAAGCTGAGGGTGCAGTCTAGAGAACCTCCAGTAAATGCCAGACCGACCTGAAAGTGTCTGAAGAAGTCTGAAACTCTTGAACTTCATGATTCATATGTTAAATATCCTAAATAATGCTTGATTTCTGCAACTTCAAATGCTTATTTCTAACCTGAAACTGACTTATGTGGATTGTTATTTAGTGTAAATGTGACTACAATCGCACATTCCACCGTTCTCTGCAAACGTACACTGCACATTTGCCACCACCTGCTCATTTCCTCTCCGCTCCGGTCGTCAACACCTGTCTGCTCTCAGCACATCCGCCACACGCTCGCTACGCACACACTAACACCACACATGTTAAAGGAGGCTTTCTGGGCCACAGCTTTGCTGCAGTCCGGCCAAATAGAAGCTTGAATAACACGAGAAAAGCCAAAATGTATCAGAAGAAAGTGGAGTTATAGTTTTTAGAGTTGCAGTTAAAAGAAAGGGTTCTGGATCTTCACTTCTTTTATTTTCTATTCTCTTGTGCTGTTCCCTCCCTGCTGTCCATGCGTCATCTTGCTCTGCCCTTCTCAGCTTTTTGCTATCTGACTTTGTGTGTTTACATCTTTCTGTGAATGTGTGACGCCACCAAAATAAAGACCAAATCATGGAAAAGAATTCAAAACACTGGCTACGAAAGACATGTGCATCGCTCCATGCACAGCATCGTTAACGCTGCGCTTCTGCTATCAGAGGAGAAGTTGCTCCAACAGCTGAAAATATAAATTAAAACCATTATGATAATTACCTTTCAGTCCCCTGCTCATGGTAAATTACTAAATTAGTCAGCCAGTGATTTAAGAGATTTACTGGAAAAAGCAACATTTTGGAATAAATAACAACCACTCTGTGGTACCATCAGCATGCATTATGTTTTTTTTAGCATTGCTCCGACTTCTCCCAACCCTACCGTACCTGATCTTTTTAATCACGATCATTTTATGATAATTGATTATCCTGTTGTTCATAATTTAGCACACAATTTCTAGGTTCCACACAGTAAATGAGCGCTTTGCTATGTGTGCAAGCAAACTTAAGCTGCAAAGCACATCTCACCTCGTCTTAGGTGAGGTATTACGCTGTTGAGCTAATGGAGTTGTCATTTATTAGCGCCCTAGCACCAACACACACACACACACACACACACACACACACACACACACACACACACACACACACACACACATTTGTGAAGTGTTAAATGGCATGTTTTCCCCCAGGGATGCTGTTACAGCGGGGAAAATGTCTTTTGCTGTGGTTTAGTCAGGCATGGAAGGCCTGCCTCAGTGTGCGTGATTGTGTGTGCATCTGTGTGTCTGTGCTCATTAATCCCCTTCCAATCGGCCATGACATGTTCATTAGCCTGCTGCCCGTTTGCATTGTTAACGCTAAGCCGCAGCCAGAGCTACAGCATGTGTGTATTTCCTCATGTATATGTCAATATATGTGTGTGTGTGTGTGTG